ACGGAATAAATTCCTAGTCAATTGTTTTCGATAAATGGCGTTCTAGCAGATTATGTTCCCATTCGCGAATACTATATAACAGAATCAGAGTTATATGTTTATTTCACACTTTATGCTGCAAGGCTTCTGTTACGTTGATTTCCCTGTGTAAGCACCTTACAATTCAACACCTTTTTCTATCGCTCTACGAATTCCGTAAATCCAGACGGATACAAGTCTTCCGATCACAGTGAACGGGAGATCCTAAGACACGAAATATCTTCACCCTCTTAAACACTGAGTTTGTGGATTCGAATCCTACTTGAGGCAAGTCTGTCTGCCTTTATTCTGTGTGTTGTGTTGTCCTCTGTAGGTATCGGACTTGCGACTGGCTGATCTGCCGTCAAAGGAGTCCCATCATCTGCCTATAAGATTCGTAATTTCAAAATCCATTCTGAATGGGAACAGGCCAGAGAAACTAATTCGATAAGATAGAAAAATAAGTCTTCTGAAGCCTCCACAGCTGCAGGGCTTGCTCATTGTTTTTGTACTTCCAGCTACTTACCCACTCCCTTAGCAGAAATTACGTCCATACTGTACAAAGGGTCCATACTGTGCCCCGTAGGTGGTTACCTACACGAGAGAGAGAATAAAATGTGGAGGAAGGGCGCCAGTGACACACACTATATTTTAAAGTAGGGGCGTTAGGCATCTTTCCGGCTTCGAAAGTTCCCAGGCGTTGCCCGCTCATCCTTCTGGTAAAGTTGTATTCGAGGTAGGGTAAAGCTTTGGGAAGTGGCAAAAGTAAATGATATATATATATATATATATATATATACAGTGTCCGTCTTGCAGTGCATCCACTTTTACCTGTCACTCCACAACATGTTTCGGCACCATAGTGCCATCATCAGGTGATCCATTTACACTAATCTATTGCATTGCATGCTATTATGTCAATGTAAAATTATTTAAAAAGTGTTTTAAAATATTCGTCAGTTATAATAACAACATTACAACACCCGCAGCCAAAAAGGGAACACGCATCACGAGACACGATACACACGCCATATAAGAGGAACGACTCCCATAGTGGAGGAACCATGCGCGGGTTTTGAATTGGAACAGTTGAGATGAATATCTTAACAAGATTTTAGTATACAAAAAATTTATTATAACTGGCGAATATTTTAAAATATTTTTTAAATAATTTTACATTGACATAATGGCATGCAGTGCAATAGATTAGTGTAAATGGAGCACCTGATGATGGCACTATGGTGCCGAAACATGTCGTGAAGTGACAGGTAAAAGTGGACAAGACGGACACTGTATGTCATGGACGAAAATCAGTGCAACAGGACGCTAAAATACAACACTAAGGCAAAAGTAAAGGTTAGGATATGGGCTTTGTCACAAGCAAAGGGGGTAAAGCTGAGCAATGGTTTTACTGCGTATCATCCGAATTTATGTCATGAAGGCGGAAGACCACGGTACAACGTTCACTGCCATGAAAACCTAAGACCTAATTTAAGGTATGCTTTAAGCAATTCCCGACTAGTTTTTTCTTTTTTTTTTTCTTCATTGCCACTACAGTCCCAGTGGGCCTAGGCCTACATCCATGAACTTCTCCGTTCACTTCGGTTTTTCTAGATCTTACACATTCGGTAGGACTCCTTGGGCTGGTGATCAGCTCGTCGCAAGGCCTCTACCTGTAGACAAACACAGAAAAACGCACACACACAAACTAAACTTCAATGCCCTGAGTGGGATTCGAACCCATGATCCCGGTTTCCAAGCGAGCGAAGACAGTACATGCCTTAGAGCACTCGGCTACCGTGACAAGACCGACTAGTTTATTCAAGAATTTTTTCCATGATGATGGTCTCGTTACGACAAATGTATGCGTCAGTGACAGCAGCGCGCGATACACCAGGTTTTGCATCGTGAAGAGCGCGAATTCTGACCTTGCGCCAGCCATTCTAACATCCAGGATGAGCCACAGCACTCGATGAACACCAGACTGGAAACTCCCTCAACAAGAAAAACGTCCAGGAGATGGGGGTGGTCATACCGCACATCTGCCTACTCCACTGTCATCTTGAAGAAGAATAAGAAAATAATGTGATGCTAACAATATTTTGGTCACAAAACATCAGGTGCATTCAACATGACGTGCGAGTGTGACTGATATCGACATTTCATTCCAAGCACAACGGTTTAAAAATCAATTCTGATATTTATTCTGCTTCCTCTATATTGTACACACTTGACTGATCATAATCGCATTCCAAGCACGTCCATCTAAAATCCATTCGCACAATCAGCAGACAGCATATCAGCAATTTGACCTTGCGGTGTTATGAGGTTGAAAAATTAAAATTGTCCCTGTATGGCAGCATCATGTCACGAAAGAGTATTGGTGGAATGTACGTGAAGCTCCAGGCATTCAATATGGGGGTTCAGCTTCATACCACTGCCGATTTTGTAACGGCAAGAGATACCAATAGTCTAACATTTAAATGGAGGCTGGTTGAGCTCCTCTGGACGTCGTGGCGAAGAAGAAAATCATCATCATACCCCGGAATTTAACCCCACGCCTTCAACTCGCAGTGTATTAATTTACTGGTTCGGAAAAACAAAAATGGTGAAATGGGAGAACATATATTTCGTATGCGTAAAAGGTAAAAAGGTAAAGCTGCCCCTGTAACAGGCCGTGAAGTCTCATAGGTCTGTGAGACGTCGAAGCTCCCATATTTTCTCTAGACAATCGGCTCACAGATGACGGTGAGGTTGTCAGCCCTAGGCGCCGTCCGCCCTTTTCCCCCCAGGATGATTCCTAATACTCATTTCTGTTAGAGGTTGAGTCGAACTCACGACCATAGTATGGCTGGAAGGATTAGGTTAAGTTGAAAAAATCCACCTCATCGGGACTCGAACCCGCTAACTTCCGGCTTGTAGCATAGTTCGTATGGAGATAATAAATATGAACACATTTATAGTTGGAAACCGTGAAAGGAAATACCACTTGAGAGGCATAATTTTACGTGGGAGCAGATATTAAAATGGAATTTACGTAACTACAATGTGTCAGTGTGGACAGGATTCATTTGGCACAGATAGAGCCGAGTGGAGGATGTTTGGAGAGATCAATAAAATTTCTCGATTCATGTAAGCCGTGTAATTTCACTACGACTCGCTCAGAGACTATCAGCTTTCCAAGGAAGAATCTGCATTTATGTTAGAAAAAAAGTATCTGTAACAGGCCGTGAAGGCCCATAGGATTGTGAGACGTCGAGGCTCCCACATTTTCTCTAGACAATCGGCTCGAAGATGGCGGTAAGGTTGTCAGCCCTACACACCAGTTGCCCTTTACCCTCCTTCCAGGAAGATTCCTGGTACTCATTTCTGTTAGAGGCTGAGTCGACCACAGGGCCATAGTGCGGTTGGAAAGATTAGTTACTTATTTTACACAAACTGAACGTATCTTCAGCTGTGGGCAATTCCATGGGCATCCCTGCCTCATTATAACGGTTCGTGATCCTCAGCGATAAATGATGCTATGGATAATCTATCCGAAATAAAGTTATTGTGACACAGCAAAGGGAAGGGAGAGTAGGAATTACACTTCAGGGCGAAACCGCAGTCAGGGACTGAACTAATGACATTCCGCATGGAGTCACCTGAAACCTTATAGAAGCAGGCAATATAACTATCAGTGCTAATAACGAGATTGCGCCTGCAGATCCGTGATGTACATCCTTGTCAAGAACAAGTGAAATAACAGGCTGACACTACAATTAACAAGAGCACTGCCGTGTACGCCAGTTCGAGTGGATACATTCGAAATTCATTCTTTCGATAAATTTGAGTTGGTTCATCCTGATCCGTCACACTGACGATATTATGAAAGGTTATCAACTCCGTCCAGTGTGACTGATAAAATGTTTTTTTTCTCCTCTTTAATCTTCCATCCTTCACATGTTTCTGTCTGAGAGACCATCTTCGGAAGGATATATCAATACAGGCGGAAACTACAATTACAATATGATTGGTCAATATATATACCTACACACAATATCATTACAATGCCATAAATACAAAATCTGAGCCTTTAACAACTACAGCGATATGCATGAATACATTAAAATATTTATAAATTATTATAATTAGTTTGTTTACGAGGACCGCCTTTGTGGTCTAGTGGTCAGATTTCCTGGCTACAGATCCAGTTCGATTCCCGGCGCTGCCAGATTTTATGAGTAGTAGTGGGTCTGGAACGGGGTCCACTCAGCCTCGTGAGGATAACTGAGGAGCAATTTCAAGGAAATAGCGGCTCCGGTCTAGAAAACCGACATTAACGGCCTTGGGGATTCTTTGCGCTGACCACGTGACACCCTCTATCCGTTAAAGTTGGTGCTACCGTAACTTCGCCGACAAGCGGCGGTCACTCGGTCGGTGTAGTTCGCTTGCGGACTACAGGCCACGGAGTTTTTTATTTTACCCCAGGATATTTTTCCGTAAGGTTGCTGCATAAGGTGTGACGTACCCTGGTTCTTAGAGTAGCCGGACTTAGTAAGCCAGCTAGTAGGGTATTGATTAGCTAGTAAGTTAGTGCCGAAATACACTGGGATGTTTAAAGAACTTTAAATATTTACCGTTGCGCGACGTTCTACATGCTCGGTTTTGAAATGATAGAGAGAAAATATCCTGCCTATAGTTATATTTGTAATTGCAACAAATTTCTGCGATAAAATTAGAAACTCCAGGAAGATTCCCTCTTCTTCCTCGCCTGCAAACGAAGAACCCTAATTCTGCCACACCTTCCTCCGGTCCAGTGGCGTCTTTTACTGTCTCTTTAATAAAATGAAAGATGCGATATGCTAAACATATTCCATCTCTGTCTTCCCCTTCCTTATTCAGTCATATCCCATCACTGTATCTTCAGCGACACAAGGGCATCCTCTGCTATGCTTCACTATATAAAGCAGGGCGTGAAGAGATGACAGCCGAGAGCGCGACTGGCGGCAGGTGAGAGAGACGAGCTGACATCTTCCTTGAGCAGGGATCACCGTCATGGTCGTCTGTGCCGTAACACCCGTGAGTAACAACTGGTCATGGATACTATGATGCAGTTTGAAACGTAAGACCCAAGCAGATTCATCTTAACCTAAATAAAATACAGGGAACTACAACTGGATAGGCCTTCGGTTGGGGGAGAGAATGAAAGCTGGATAGATCGGAAAGCGGCCACTTGGAAGACCGTGAAAATGGTGGTGAGAATAATACGGAAACCTAGTTAATTTCAAAGAATATTTATGTTTACGTCTTTAAAAAATTCCATAACAGCAATACAAAGATAATTTATGTGTTTCGCAACATTATTTCCTCAAGATACATAAATCTATAGATCACTAGAACCTATGTCTAATTAATTAAGCAGCTTTAAATTTCAAATTAGTAAGTGTACTTAGGATTTTTAAATTTGCTTCGGCATTACAGTCCACAGTGACCTGAATTATTTCACGAAAAAAATCTAGGCCCTGAATCGGGCCTTTTTTGTTGTTGTTGTTGTTGTTGTTGTTGTTCTGTATTCCACAGATCAGGCTAAAGTCTGTTCTTACTTCATAATTAATTCTGTTCTTCCATTTAAAGAATATATATATATCACTTCAAATTCCTTGTTCATTACATCATCTATTTTCTGCGTTGGAATAAAAAAAAAAGCGCCGCGTAATTTGCCTTCATAAAACTACTGTTTCATAAAACCAGAGCATNAAGGTTCATTACCGTGTTCACAAGAGCCCTCCACTGGTCCTTATCCTGAGCCAGGTCGATCCAATCCATACCGTCCCATTATATCTCTCTAAGATCCATTTTAATATTGTCCACCTACATTCCAAATACCAAATCTCATATCCATTTTCTTTCGCTTAGGTCGTTTATTCAAGGAATCCGTCCAAGTCCGAGGGTTCTTGTGATATTTCATAACAAGTTTATTTTTTACGGTGAGTTGTTAGTTCCACGCCCAACCACAAACCTGGGGGACCATCCCTTGTCGGTTGTCCGCGATTGTTTATTCAATGTATTTCCAGTTACCCTCCATATCTGGAGGCCGTCTCCTCTATCCGCAACCTGAGGACGTGCCATGCCGCGGTGACAAGGGACCCATATAACATAGGGTTGTACATTAAGTTTGGCGGGGACATATGTTTATACAATCATTAATATTTAAAGCATATGGCCCCCTGATCTGCTCGGAATTAATTTCGAAAAATTAGGCAGAGGCTTCCTTACAAATGTGTTCTGTCCACTGGAAGGCCTTTGCAAGCAGAGAACGCAACGCAGAGGAAGTCGAGATACATGAATACCTCAATTGGGATCTGAAGGTGTGATCGCAATACTGGATCTGTTAAAGATCATACATATACCTGATCAGTTACCAGTAGCTTTTTACAAATAAAAAGTGTTCCTAAACAGATGAGACCTGGTGCAGTAGCCACTGCTTCTTTAAGAACAAGAATTCTTGTCAGAATTTTCTAAAAAGGAAACATACCACGCAAAAGGCTGAAAAGAACTGTACCCAGCTAAGTAAACTTGCTGATGATGAGGCTGTAGGGAGGGTTGGTGTAAAGAAGAAAGACAGCAGGGCTGACTCGTTACTGACTTCTTATTTAGATCATGCACTTCCCCGTCAACCTTATAGAACTTTCGCTCAGTGTGAATGTAAAGATATTTCTTCAAATGTCTGCACACAAAATAGGCTGCTCTAGGTAGGTTCCTGAAGATATTTAATGACGCTCTTTCAACTGCAAAAAGAGAAAGAAGCATAATGAATGGTGAGTGGATAAGAATTTGGAGATTAACAGTCGTGACCTATTTTACGATGGTAACCCAGTACCCTCCAGTAAATCTCAAGAGACTAGACGATAATGGAAATGAGGTTAGAAAGTCGTTTCATCAGACTCATGGAAAGACTCGTGGTGCGCTGACGGTACATAGAGTGTAAGGTAAAGTTGTCCCTGTGCTCAACTAATTAAGCACTACGCCATGAAGGCGTATGGGGGAGTGTATGTATAGATCCGCATTATATTGACCTCGGCACTAGCTGGAGGTGAGTGGTCAGCATCACGCCCCTGCCGCTTTACCCCAGGGGAAAGAGCCGTAGGTGCCCATTGGATATGAGGCTGGCTGTGTCCCAGAGCCGGTCTGGACGATGTGGAGAAGAGAAAATTCTTGACTCTATCGGGACTCGAACTCTGACCCCTCAGTCGTCTAGCCCGTAGCCAGTCGCTATACCGACTACGCTACCCCGGGGTATATAGTGCGTTCGTGAGGGAAATCTAGAAAAAATTCGATTCATTCCTGAACACCGTAAGGTTAGGTTTAAACGATTTAAGTGTGACGACCAAAAAACCTACAGACAGGCTTCGCGAAGATGATACAGGCCTATTGGCGCAGCTTTAGGTTTACATTGCGAAGCATAAGCAGTGTGGCACTCCGGGTTGTAACGCCGTAAGTCATTCCTCACGGTTGAAAATGAAGTAAATTCCTTTCAGTACCACACAGCATTACAATCCTGAGGTTCTTCTAACACCACAAGACGTCACAACCCCTGTACAGTATACTGGCAGTACACTTCTGGGAAACTTCTAAGTTATTTTTCTTCATGGGGTTATAATTTTACAAGGACTACTGAAGACAGAGGCAACATACTCCCCCGAAATGCCCGAAGCTTTCCAACATTACATGGCGTTGCAAGTTCTATGCTGAAGATGGAGCTACTGTATACTTCATAAACGTTAGAAGCAAAAATTATATGGTATAAAAGCCTAAGGGACTAGAACGAAATATCAGTGTCAAAGACTATGACATTCCAGTCAACCAGCATAGCAATAAAACAGTTACCCAGCGACGCTGTTGGAACTATAGAAGTTACTCGGAATAAAAAGGGACGTAAAGATAATAATGAACGTTGATATGGTAACAGTTTTATCGGAGGCAATTGTGGCATACTTTAGCCTATTGCACCAATATTTATCTGCAAACAGAGGAACCAAAAATATCCTGTAAGGATCCGGTTCAGATTAGAACCTGATACTTCTCGAATACAAGTCTGGAGCGTTATCCCTGCAACAACCTGCTCGGTATAAAGGAAGCAACACAAAGACACGGATAGGTTATAGTGTCTGCACTGCAATAGAGCTGTTAAAACAGTGAGTAGCAATAGCTCTAATCCGCAAAATAAAATATTAGTCGTTCACATTAATTACGTTTAAACACAGAAGCAAGGAAATATGAACGAAAGATGAAGGAAGTTTTAAAGGCTTGATGAACATACAAGCAAGCCGCTCACTTAAAAGCGCAGCGATATATTAGGCAGAAAGCTATTAACGGAAACGGGAGTGCAGTAAGTCATACGAAGGTGAGGGAAAGTCGCTAGAAATATTCCTTCACATCCATTCGTTAATTGGGTGCATTTATGTAATTTTATGAAACCGAACTCTGTAGACTTCAGGCTATTAATAACACACTATGAAGATAACAACAAGGGTTATTTCAAGTCTGATGAGGAGTTATTGCGTTCGGCTCTCTTGAAGGGATTTGAGAGAAGGCGGTCGTGGTCTATTTCAATAACTTAATCTGATAACTTCCCGAAAAAACGGAAAAATCATCAGCAGTTCAGAGCAGTCTGTCTCCCTACCGAGAGACGAACAAGGCACAAGGCGAACACAAATCGGAAGCATTACCTTTCGAGCCAACTTTCCCCGAATTGAACATGAAAAGCATACGCAATGTTTGTGTGATGTTCACCCCAGGCTTTGGTCCTGGTTCTGGCCGTGTGCGCGCTGTGTTGGGAGAACCTGCCTGCCATCCCAGCGGGGCGCCGTGCGGAGTACTACTTGCTGCAAGGCGACGGCGCCTACAGGTACGGGTATGACACGGGGGAAGGCCAGAGCGCGGTAGCCAGTGCCGACCAGAGCAACCAGGTGCAGGGCCAGTACTCCTATGTAGACAGCACGGGGAAGAGGGTCAGCCTTGCCTACACAGCCGGGAACTCTGGGTTCTTACCTCAGCTGGAGGGTGGAGCGACAGCTGCCGGTCGAGTGGGGGTATCAGGTAAGTATTTGTCGCTATAATTACCTATTCTACTTTAATTTTTCACAGCTATATTGTGTTATAAGAAGTTTACGTAGTGAATGAAAACAATATACTATCTGAGGTAATCAAGGAGACTATGTTAGGCCACACAATGATTGCGACACAGAATTTCTTATTATATCTTACCGCTGCCATCAGATTATTGTGGGGCCACCCTTGCGACAACTTTATTACTATGAATGCGGGGGTGAGGCATCCACATTTCTTATCCTTATCCCACCGCTGCCACCAAGTTATCGTGGCGCACAACTGCGACACCCAAATTCTTATTACATTCCACCCGGACACCATCAAAATTTAGAATATATCACCGAATTGCCACCAATTAAACATCTGTGGACAGCTTCCACTCCACCCAATGAATTAATTATTACTAATACCCCAAATAACCCAAACAAACACTCAACATGTTAAAACGAAGATAAATGTAATTAAATCAACAATTACATACGTACAGCATATTAACACACACAATCTGTAATTACACACCTTGCAATAACCTCTTAAACCTTACTACCGCTAGTCTACTAAACCTGCAAGGCGTAAACCAAATTTCTGCACTCTGCAGTCAGTAAACCAAAATTATCATGCAATAACAGCGAACTAAATTCACACTCTAACCTTCATTCGCTAACCACAATTTATATCTTAACAATAAACCAAATCTCGTATGCTAACCGCTAATTAGTGGGCCAAATTTCATATATAAACATCAATAATCCATATTTCCGCTCAACTAGTCAAAACTGGTATTTTCAACAAGCTACCAGTGAATCAAATGTTACGTTACTGTTACTGAACCAAATTCTTGCGTCTTACTTATCACTTGATAAATAAAAATTTGTACCTCGTCATAATCTCCCAATAAATAAAAAAAAAATCTTTAACAATTCATGAACCAAAGTTTATATGCTAAATTCTTTTGATCAATTTTATCCTGAAAATCCTTTACCAAACCAAAATCATTGAACCAGAATTATATTCTGACAACCATTAGTGATCCGAAACCAGGCAAGTACTCACGCTTACAAAAGAGGAAGACATCAGACTCCAATGCGTCTCCTTCCTACCACGCGATTGTTCTGAGTGACTCCTAAAATCAGGGTATTCGTGACTTCTCCCGTCCGAGCCCCTCAAAATTCAACATCATAAACATTCCGTGCACTCAAAATCCTAAAATCGGCAGATTCCTCCTGGCCGATATCCTGCCAAGCGAGACTTGCTACTGTGAAGTTCTTCCGATTGCTCAGCAATTTCTGTAAACTGTACGACTGAACCCTGATGGCTAAGGGAGTATGCTACTTCACTCTAGTTTCAGGCTGGCCAAACCTGTGGTTCACCTAACATAATTCGATTTATCAAATTTATAATTAATTTCTAATAAATTAAACATAAGATAAGTCCATTAATAACCTGGGGTACAACCACTATGCAATGTAGCCAACGATAGTTTCTTATTACCCATGTTGCTGCGTTTAGATTTTGGTGTTCTGGATTTCAACAACGTGAAATATGGAAGGTGATTACTAACATTTCGAAGGAATCTGCTGCTCCACTTTCAGGGTTGGCGTGATTCTGAAAAGGGAAGTGGTAGATTCATAGGAGAGGTTACTTATGAGACTAGACGGCTACATCAGTATCTAAGCCTTCACTTCAGTGATATCTTAAGAGTGGGTAGCACCTCCGTTATGTATTACGTTAGCCCTGGAATTAAATCTTGGCCCGCGGTATCACGTCTCTCCAGGCAAATGCCTCTATGGGATCTGAGATTATCCCAAACAGATTCCTTTTGCGTCATTTTTAATTAATTATTCGCTATCATATATGTGATCAGAATTATTAAAACCGTCATTAAATAAACCATAATTATGCAAAAATATAATCAACGTTCAAATATTATGTTTTTGGGCATTATCCATCGTCTTGTCTTTATCTAAAAAACCGTCCTGTTTATTTTTGAAAGCACGACATTTCGGAGACTGGATTCTGTCTCCGAAACGCTGTGTTTTGAAAAATAAGAGGACGGTTTTTAGGTAAAGACAAGACGATGGATAATATAAAAATATAGTATTTGTACTAATGTAAAATCGTCACAAACTTTTAGAGTAATCAACGTTGCTTCAACCGTAGAAGTTATGCTTTTTCGAACGTTATGAGAAGTTCATCTAAATTTGGAAACAAATGTTCATGGCATTAACGAGGAGAGAGAGGGATTTTGTGATAATTGCCCCTGCAAGGATAGCGACAACGTGGTGGCACAGTGAAACCTGGTACTTCTCCAATATAAGGTTATAGCTGTATTGTCTCAACGCGCTGCTTTCTCCTGTGCAATTGCGAAAATGAGTAATGAAACTGACGAACTAACATTTTTCTACTGCAGGTCCAAGGTCCCGGAACAGCCTCGCAAGTTCCCAGAGCGCCTTCGCGAGCGGTGGCTTTGCCGCCGATGGAAGACTGGCTGACGAAAACTACGACGACAATGCAGATGCCTCCTACTCATTTTCCATCGACACTGACAGCTACAAACGTGCTGAGTCCTCCGACGCTAGAGGCAACATCCGCGGTCAGTACTCATACAGCAGCCGGGAAGGTGGGAGCCACGGTGTGAGCTACATCGCAGGAGAGGGCACCGGCTTTGTCGTCACCAGCAGTGACAGTGCTGCAGATATCGGTTCCGTTTCGCACAACGCGTACGTCCCTCCCGCTTCGTCAGCCTATTCTAGAGGGCCAGCAGCTGATACCAGCAGCAAACTAAACAACGACGGGTCCTATTCATTCTCCTTCAGCACAAATGATCAGTCTCGGGAAGAATCAGCCGATTCTCAGAATAACGTGAGAGGCAGCTACTCGTTCAAAGCAAAGGACGACGGACGCATTCGACATGTAGACTATGCAGCCGGTTCTGCCACAGGCTTTGTTGCCACAGGAAGTCATCTTCCAGCTCCTTCAAGAAGTACAGCGTCGTTCCGATATCCATCTCAAGGTCAGTCGAGACCCGCGTCTTTCGGCCAATCAAGTTCTTCGTCTTTTAGCCAGCCAGGACTTTCGTCTTATTCAACAGGGGATGGCATATACTCTGCAGGAGATGGGAAGGTATCCACAACTAAAGACGCCTCTTCAGTGGGATTAACTTCAGGCAAGTCTACATCGTCCGGTTCTTTCTCCCAGACGCCAGTAGGTGAAAGTTCAACGTCAACTGGACTCCAGAAAGATGGTTCTTATTCGTTCTCATATAATGCCGGTGACCACAGCCGCCAAGAGTCGGGCGATGCTCAGAACAATGTCAGAGGATCTTACTCCTTCGTAGCTAAGGATGACGGCCAGGCTAGGCATATAGAATACGAGGCGGGTGCTGCAACTGGTTTCATTGCCAAGGGGAATCATCTGCCTGTGGCTGTATCTCCTTCTGACACTGGAGGTAGTTACTATTCTTTTTCTTCACATCCTTCGGTCAGTTCTTATTCTGCTGGTGTTCATGCTCCAGGTTCATTTGCAGAAGCACGGCACAACATCCAAGATCAAAGACGCCAAGAATCAGGTGACACTAAAAACAATGTAAACGGAATCTTCACCTTTAGATCGAAGGATAATGAACAGACACGCCGTGTGGGCTACGAAGCTGAAGCAGGTACTGGGTTTATTGCTAAAGGGCCACATATTCCAGTAGGTCCATCAGTAACTTCCACAAGCCAGGACGCTACAGGAATAAGATACAGCCATCCATTTGCCTCAAACCCATATGCCGGTTCTAGTAATGTTCAGGCTCAAAAGGCTTCTGGTGGCTCCTACTCTTTCTCATATAATGCCGGGGATCATTCTCGTGCAGAAACATCTGATGACCGGGGCAATGTACGAGGAAGATACTCTTTTATTGCTAAAGACGACGGTAGGACGCGGGAAATAGTTTACGAAGCCGGTGCTGAGAAAGGTTTCATCGCTAAAGGGTCTCACATACCAGTATCAGGCTACGCTAGTACAGTCAGTGGCGCTTCTGATCATCAGTTATCGTCAGCAGTAGGTTCATTTGGATCAACCAGTAGTGCTTTTATTCATCGGGCATCGTCAGCTTCCTATGAAGTTGCCGAAGATGGCTCTCAGAACGATCAGAGCAGTGGAGATGCTTCTTATTCCTACAGCTACCAGACTGATAGCAGTAGTAAAGAGGAGAGCTCAGATGCGCAGGGAAATGTTGTGGGGAGCTTCTCGTTCCTAGGAGGTGATGGTGTTATCAGGAACGTCCATTACACTTCCAGGGGTAATGAAGGTTTCATAGTTTCAGGTGAGAACATTCCCAAAGGTGGGAGTGGTAACGCAGCTGAAACAAGTGCGGCATTCGGTGCATCCAGCGTTCTCTCTGCAGATGCCAGATCCTCACGAACGAGACCGCAAGATGTGGGCCCTGCTACTTTCCATCTTAAAAAATTCTTGCCTCCGGAGAGTCCAAGAAAGTTTGGTTACATCTTCGACACAAAAGTCTGAAGTGACGACTCTACCACTGTGTCCTTACAGCGTTGTGTGTCAGATATTCTGATCTTTCCCATACTTTGTTACAATTTAAAATGAAAGTTCTATTAGCGTCAGTTATGTGATATAGGTTGTCAAATTACTTCATGTAGAGCTGAAATGATCTTATGTATTGAAAGTAAAGTCGTAGGAAATATGATATGGTAACATGAACGAAACATTTAGGGTGAGGGCACACCAAGGAAACTGGCAAATGCAACGCAACCGCAATTTCCGAGAAATGGTACCAGCTTAAGTTGAACACATGTTACTGAATGGAGCAGCGCAAATTGAGGAAACGGCAACTTAGTTTCCTCAATTTGCGCTGCTCCATTCAGTAGCATGTGTTCAACTCAGGCTAGTAACATTTCTCGGAAATTGCGGTTGCGTTGCGATTGCCAGTTTCTTTGGTGTGCTCTCGCCCTTACAGAAGATGTTTAAATTGCTTGTCACAGAAAAGTATCACTTTAAAGGGAGCAAAATGAACTTTTATGGAGTTCATCAGTCAATGGAAATGTCTCTGCCTAATAACACTGTCGTAAAAGTAAACTCAGTTGAAATGCGATGCCCCAACAAACTTAAAAAATATGATTTCTGCAATTAATATGCATTTGTCACCACTCGAATGTTTCATATTTCCAAAAATATTACTAATTAAAAAACATATATTTGAACGTGTTCCTTATATTTCACTACAGCTTTCGAAAGAAACACCGCAAGAGAAATTATGCTAAACAAAATTAATTAATAAAATTACTCTGATTAGAATGCACCAACGAAATGCGATTTATATTTAAAATAATACAGGCTAAAATCAGATTAACAAAGTACGCTGAAAACTTTTAAAATCAAATTTCATTTTCACAAGGAAGGAGGACCGTAGCAGTATGACAGCAGACTTCGTTTCTTAACAATATATAGAAGTCCATGTATTGCATATTTGTACACGAACACCAATATATGATGAATCTCAAATCTCTTGCAACATCAGTAAAAGATATGGCTTACTTTATTCCTAAAAAAATGTGAGAATGGAAAATTATTCATCCTGCAGTTAAAACTTCTGATTACACTGACTGAGAAACAACAATTCACATTGCCTTACTGTTCAATATGGTTCATCTTTAGACCGAAGCACATTACATACAGAGTTTAGAAACATTGACATTAGGAAAGTTGACTTCTTGAGAAAACTGAGATCCTGAAGGGGATGAGTATTTAGACTACAGCCAGCTGGGATGTGACGCTGTGTTACGCGGTAGAAAGGTATCAACCGTAAAGATGGTGGCACCCGATGAATCCAAACGTTGATATCTATCTACCAAACTGCACTGTGTCACTTCCAAAAATACCGTAATCTTAAGATGATATGTCATGACTGCAAGCTTTTTATTCAACAGATGTCTCGTAAACCTAACAAAGTTATAGCTTTGTACAGCTTAATTTCTTTTCAGTTTGAAACAGGATTAACTTATCTGGCCGACAATGCGGAAAACTTCGAATTTTTTACAATCCCATTGCAGGATTATCCTTCTAATGTGGTTATTACAACCGAAATTAAATTTCACTTTAATGTTATAGTGTAAATATTCTTGGAAACAATAATATTTTAACGAATTCCAATTTATTCACTTCCTGATTTCTGATGTACGCCTATGTTTGATTTCGGCTTATTGTTTAAATTTACTTCAATTGGTTTAGTCATTCTTTAAATTGCAGTGTTTCGAAGTTTGTCAATCCAAAAACTGTTGTAGCTTATCCAGCGTTAAACAATTTTTAATACAGTAAGTTTACTGTCTTCATATAATAGCTTACATATATAATTGTGCTGTACGAGTACCACATAGCATATGTATGGTCTAACATAACAAGTTGAAGGAGCTTATTTTCATTACGCAAACTCTCTAAGAACTCTGTTCTCTGTTATACACATTTATTCACTTCTACACAACACAATTCACTAAATGTTACAGTCGACCTAGCTAGTATGAAGGTCTGACTAATTGTATAAAAATATGCAGCGAAAATGATGGATTTTTATTTATCTGTCAGAAAAAAAGACGAAACTGAAATAATAACACATGTTACTAACAATGTTTATGATATACATATATGTAACCTTTGAAACAATGTAATGTATGAAATTGTATAAAAATTAGCATTCTGCATAAGAGTGTAAATAAAAACTGACTATTATGAAATTTGTCTGTGGTCATATACTAAACGTGGGTAGTATGTTATTATTGAAATATTACCATTGTGAAAACGTAAGATCTTGGCTTAATTGCACAGACTCTTACTGTTTCGAATATTGATGGGATGTGTTCCTTATTGTAAAGACAGAAGCATCATTTTTCAATAATTCACTGCTCTATCGGGGTTCATTCCTATACCATCTCGCAGCTTACAATTACACCTCCCAGAAACATAGTTCTATTCTGCTTTGAACCTTGCCTGTGTTTGATAATACCAGAGAAACTCCCTTATCTTCTCTTGGCATTTCAAGCTAATAGTGACATTTAGAAGTTAATGTATGACACGGAAATACACGACAATTTTCTTTCTAAAATTATGCCGGTGCTTTCATATTTGCTTTTAGTCTCAAGGTTGAAACATGCAAGGCACCAGCATACGTGCTGCTTTTGGTTAAGTCCGCCGATAAGCATCAATTATTTGCCAGTATGCATAAAAATAAAGTTGTCCATGTGCTTAGCTAATTAAGCACTACGCCATGAAGTCTTATGGGAGAGTGAATGTATAGATCCTCATTTTCTTGACTTCGACACTAGTTGGATATTAGTGCTCAGCTTCACGCCCTGGCCGCTTTACTCCCCGAGGAAAGAGCCCACGGTACCCATTGGATAGGAGGCTGGGTTGGGGACGTGGAGAAGAGAAAATTCTTGACCGGCTGACCCCTCCTCCGTCCAGCCGGTAGGCAGTCGCTATACCGACTGCGCTATCCCGGCTCCGCCATTATACATACCGGCTGAAAAGAAGGAACTGGAAATACCGTATTTACGCATGTATAGACCGCTCATTTTTTGCCAAAAATTCAAGAGGAAAACTGGGGTGCGGCTTATATTCGAAATATTCGAAATCACACTTCATTTAAAAAGAATTATATTCATAATTAGTAATACAGGGTGTTCTACTCCTGAAATAATATTCCAAGAAAATTATTTTTTCTATAATTTCTGTCTGAAAATTGTGCTGCGGCCTATACACGCACGCGGCCTATACATGCGTGAATACGGTATATGTATTTTCACTTCCTATTTCGGTTTATATATATATATATATAACAAACAAAATTCGATATAGCAGCTAGCTACGGCCTGGACGACCGAGGGGTCGGAATTCGATTCCTTGTATGGGTAATATTGTTCTCATCTCCGCGCCGTCCAGACCGACTCTTGGGCCCAGAGAGTTTCCTAGGACGTGAAGCTGACTACTCAACTCCAGCTATTGCCGAGGTCCAGAATATGTGGATCTACACATCCACTCCCATACGCCTTCATGGCATAGTGCTTAATTAGTTAAGCAGAGCGATTACTTCACTTTTATGAAATAAAATTACCGGAAGAAATGTGTTTTTGGGTAGCTAACGACAAGCAAGTCGTACAGTTCATCTGATATCCGATATTACGTAACAGTAAAATGGGGTAATGCACATATATAGGAGCACGGTTTCCATGTTAAGCATAGGGATGACTTTACCGTTTTCTCTCACACTGAATTTGGATACACAAAATAACGCTACTGACAATGTTTCATACGGTAGGAGAGGTTCGAAATTCCAGTCCATAGCCACACGACGCACAGCTTTGCTTCACGGTGGCTGTTCAGAGAGTATCAGCCGCATCAGCTGTTCTGTCCGCTACGCCACGAGTCGTATCCTGCGCAGTGCAATATCACGCATGTAGTAGGACCGGCCGGATGATTTGTGGGAGTCCTTTAAGGGGCCCATACACGTATGAGTCTGGTTCGCGAGTCCGACTCGGCTCGGGTTCCAATGACCCAAACTCCTTCGTGTGTGGGTCGCAAAGTTGGGAGTCAGCTCATGCGTTTGTGTTGAAATTAATCCGAGCCCGGCTCCCGAGTCAAGTTCGCCGAGCCGGACTTGTACGTGTAAGTTCCCCTTTAGACAACCTCGCTGTGTGACATACGATATCAAAAGTAAGAAACCGGGCAGAGAAGAAAATAATTGTAGTATCGTTCTATTAAGTAAAAAAGTAAAGCTATCCCTGTACCAGACCGTTAAGGCCTATAGGGTTGTGAGACGTTGAGGGTCAATTGACAATTGGCTCAAAGATGGCGGTAAGGTTGTCAGCCTTACGCGCCGACCGCGCTTTACTCCCCAGGAGAATTATTTAATTAATTCCTGGTATTCCTTTCTGTTAGAGGCTGAGTGAACCCCAGGGCCATAGTGCGGCTGGAAGGGTTAGGTCAATTTAAAAAAAAATCCAATGACCTCATCGGGACTTGAAGTGCGACCTTCCGGCTTGTAGCATAACCCCTCAACCAACTACGTTACCGCGTACTCTTTCCGTACCACATATGCTAAACTAACAAAACTTAGGAAAGATTTATATTTCTTTTCGTGGGCATGATGACTTATGTTCAATCTCAATTACATGGTTCCATCGGGGTCCTTTACATAATCAAAAGCTGCAGAAGAAAATAGAAAAAAAGAAGACAAAACAATGAACGCTGGTGCACTCACCCACTGCGCCGAGAGCGTTCCTCGGAGGTTGCTGCGGTCTCCGTCAAATGCCACACAATCTTCTCACACGTAGCTCACAGCACAGCAGTCGCACAATTCACTATCTGATTCACAATATCTTGTTTATTTTATAGTTTTAACCAACTTTAATGGAAGTCTCAAAATTGTTTTACTCTTTTAGCATTACTTGACAGCAGAACTACATACACATACATAAAAACCGTATCACCGAGATCCATTCAGAATCCCCTTGCCAGTGACATAAGTTAGCACGAGACGTATTTTCACAGTATTTTCAGTTAATATGACAACACGTTCTGTTTATTATTTTACAGACGAAAATATTTCTTTGAACTTATCCACAGTCTGAAATTTGCAGAGTGTAACGCTATGTAACATGCGAAAGCACAATAGATCATTGAAGGTCGCAGTGCGGGGGCCGGTTTTTATGGCCCATAGGTTATATACATGTAACGTGCACAATTGAATTGTAAATGCTTATATGCAAAG